TTCTAAATACCAAAAGAGAGGGAGTCTTCATATCAGGTACCAATGTTATCCCCTCTGTACATGGGGTAGATAGGGACAGGCAACTTAGACATTGGCTACCTACATTGAGGAGACGATAAAGGCACAAAGTGACTGACTTAAAAGGTTTCAAGAGGAAGTTGAATTTAAGAGTGTAGGGGGGGGTGGGGAGAAAGAGTCCCCACTGAATAGTTTTTATTTTGTCTAGATAGGTCTGGTGAAAAGAGATGGTGTAAGATTCATGTGATTCAATAATGAATAATTGTTATCATGACTAATTGCAACTGTCACAATTGTAAAGGTAGAAGTTTTGTAACAAAAACAGTGGAATGGTTAATCTTACAGTACAGAAACAGAGGACCCTAGGACCATCAAGGGAGAAGAGCACAAGCAGAATGCAGGATCTTATCCAGAGAAGCAGCAAAACCAGAGATGGAGGCAGAGATGGAGACATGGAGAGAAGGAGCGGCTGAGGACTCGATTCATGGGAAGACAGGGACTAAGAACCAGTGGCTAGGAGGCAGACTTGCAGAATGTACCCTTTGGAGGTATAAATTATTATACATGCCTGAGTGTTTTTTGTTTTTAAAAAAAGCTAAAGTGAATAGAGAGTGATACTGTTAACTGATGGAACAGGGATTGTAATCATTGTAATGAAACAAGATGTATGATTTTTTTTTTTTTTAATGTAAAACTAATGATCTGCCCTGTAAACTTTCACTTAATCCACAACAAAAAACGTCAAAAAAAAAAGTTGAAAACAGAGATACTGTGTGACCCAGCAATCCCTCTCCTTGGTATATATCCTAGAGAAATAAGAGCTGTGACATGAGTAGATATAAGCACATCTGTGTTCACAGCTGCACTATTCACAATAGCAAGAAGATGGAGACGATCTAAATGCCCACCAATGAAAGAATGGATAAACTTTGATACATACACACAGTGGACTACTATGCATGGTAAAGAATGATGAATCAAGACCTCATAACATGGATGAACCTAGAAGACTTTGTGCTGAATGAAATTAGTCAATCACAAAAGAATAAATATTCTATGAGACCACTATTGAAAAAGTCAAGGTTTTCAAGCTTTGATTGTTACCAGGGGTTAGAGGAAAGGGCCAGTAATTCAGTAGCTAGAGGGTTGCTGTTGTTAAGTGCCATACAGTCAGTTCTGACTCATAGTGACCCTGTGTAGGGTTTCCAAGGAGCAGCTGGTGGGTTTGAACCAATAACCTTGTGGTTAACAATCCAGTGCTTATCCTACAGTGCCACACCAGGACACATGTTAACTTGAGTGACAGGAAAGGCAATATACAAGAGGGAGGTGGGCAGAAAAATTATGAAGGCAAGGGAAGATACAGGGAGGAGTGCATGAGTTAAAGGGAACAGAGGTGAATAAACAATCCTGCAATACAGTGATCTGTGGTTAGATACATGGATATATGTGTAGGCTGAACAGGTGTGTGAGGGAGAGTGGGTGTATGCCCACAGTTATATAAGGTTTGACAGAGAATATTTGTACATGGGTATTTACCTTTACCATAAACATATCCACGTATGTGATGGAGCATACAGGGGGTCAAATTATGAAAACTTCTTAGACCTTATCAAATACCTTGAGGGGAATGACTTGCTGGGTCTGGGGGATCACGACCACAGTCTCAGGGGATAGTATGGTCAATTGGCACAACACTATTCACTAGGACAATGTTCTTTGGTGAGTAGTGACTAGGATCTTAAATGTTCATGAGTGGCCATCTAAAGTGCAACTGTTTCTTCCTGTCCATAGGAAATGAGTGATAGAAATTGAAGATGCTTGAAATCAATTAGTCCAATGGACTAATGCACCACATGAACATCAGTTTCCATGACCCTGAAACCAGAACTAGATGGTGCCTATCTACCGTTACTCTGCCTGGCTACATCTGCTGTGAAAAGGATCACATTAAAAAGTCCTGGATAAGAGTACCGGGAGAAAATGTGGAAAAAACTCAAAATCAGAAGAAACAAGACCAGACTTACTAGTCAGGCAGAGAGTGGAGGAACCCATAGACTGTGGCCCGAGGTTATCTTCAGGTCTAGAACTGAACTCACCCTGGTGCTCAATTTTTACCCAAGCAAAAAGATATATATAGAAAAGACTAGTGAGGTAGGCACATCATAAAATGGCCACCCACCATTTGACACCAAAAAGGCAGCAATTACCTAAGGACAAAATTCAGATGGATGAAGCAAGGAGAAGGAATGAAAACAAGAAACAGAGGGAGGAAGTGGGGTAAGTGAGGGATGGCAGTCAAGACGAATAAAGTGTATGATTTGTCGAATATAAAACTGATGATTTGCTTTTTAAATCTTCACTCGATTCACATTCAAAAGTTAAAATACGTAAATATTGCAACTGGTGGGCTATGAATAGTGCTTGTACATAAAGAGTATTTGGAAGTTTACAAGCTACAAACTTTCAAATTTCATGACATGTTGTCCTGGTTTGTGTGTGTGTGTGTGTGTGTGTGTGTGTATGTGTGTGTGTATGTGTGAATGTTACTCATTTAGTTAACTCAACTTAGTTTTTCTCACTTCTCATATTTACTAGATCATCTAGTTCTACCAATTCTACAACCCAAATATCTCTTGAATCTACCCCCTACCATTTCTACTGTAATTATCATGTCTGTCTCGGACTAGTTTGACATCTGCCTGGTTATCACTGAACTTGATCACCCTCCACACTACATTTATCTTTGCAAAAGACAACGCAATTCAGTCAGGGTCCTAATCAAAGCCCTTCAATGATTATGTTCTCCATCATCTTCAAAGTAAAATCCAAACCACTCAGCAATGACACACTTTACTTTGCCCATTCTAGCTTCTGTATATCTTTCCTACCTCATCAAGCACCTTCTCACAAGTAAATCTTGTGCTTCTCCCAATACATGTGTTTCTATGAAATTTATACCATGGGCCTTTCTTGTTCCTACAGTTGCTCTGCCTAAGAACATCTTCCTCCCTTCTCCAACTGATAAACTCATTCTTCTTTCAAGACTCTGACCAAACATCTGTTATTTGTGAGGCTCTTCCTTCTTGTACCAGTAATTAGTCCCTTTCCTTAACTCACCCACAGAAAAAACAACAAGCCCACTGTCATCGAGTCAGTTCTGACTTGCAGCACCCTAGGGGTTTCTGAGATTGTAAATCTTTACCTGCAACAGAAAGCCTTGTAGTTAGCAGTTCAGTACTTATCCTACAGCATCACCAGAGCTCCTCGATCGATCACAGATGTTGTTGTTGTTGTAAGTGCCATGGGGTTGGGTCCAACTAATGGACCACATGAACAACAGTCTCCATGACCCTGAAACCAGAACTAGATGGTGCCTGTCTACCGTTACTCTGCCTGGCTATACGGTTTCCAAGGAGCAGCTAGTGAGTTCAAGCCACCATCCTTCTACTTCAAACTGACCTTGCAGTCCAGTGCTTCATCACACAGTGCCACACCTGGACTCTTCAGCCACAGATAGATACACCAAAAAACAAAAACCAAACCCAGTGCCATCGTGTGGATTCCAACTCATAACGAAAATCGTCAGTATTGACAGGAGCAGTTTCGCACTGAGTGACTGCTGGGTTTGAACCGTCAAACGTAATAGTCAGCAGTCCCATGCCTAACGCACAGGTCCACAAGGGCTCCCTTACAGACAAGAGACATAGAAAGCTATTAGCACTTCCCCTACCGTAGTTCCTTAAGAACAGAAACTCCATCTTGTTCACATGTGGGCCCACCACCTGGCACAGCTATCTTTCATTATGGTAAAGAATCCTCTTCTCCTCTCCATTCCCCCTCACCCTTTTCTCCTTCACTGTTTTCTAAAGAAAATGATGGCGCTAAAGAGGTATATAATATAGACTCCTGGTGTGACGCTGTAGGATCAGCACTGGACTGTGAACCACAAGATCAGCAGCTTCTTGAAAACCATAGACAGGGTCGCTACGAGTCGGAACCAACTCTAAGGTACTTGACAACAATAACAAAAAGGGCGTATGGAGTCCTGGTGAGGCCCTACTGGATAATGCACACGACCGCAAGGTGGGCGGTTCAAACCCACCAACTGCTCCTCGGAAACCCTATAGAGGGTCGCTATGAGTCGGAACCGACTTGATGGCACTTAACAACAACAAAGAGATACATGCTGAGAGGACGTATAGATTTGAAGACCCGTAGGCACAGAGCTACATGCCTGAATCGCTAAAAAGCTCACGGAATTTGAGCTTGAACCCAGACCTACCAACTCCAAAACCACTACCAAACAAACTTAAAATTATCTGTCGAATTTACAGACTAAGGCCACGTAGTCTCAAAGGCCAGGGGCTTGAGTTACTGAGAAACTCAAAAGAATTGAGTGCCTTATTGTATATGAACTTGAGAAGTAGTTGGGATGGGAGTTTCCATAGATTGCCTCAAGGGGCCCTTTCTTTCCTCTGAAGCTTTTCTACTCCTCTCCCGTCCGGCTGAAGACGATCTAAGATCAGGAGTACGAACGAGGGAAAACAAGCCCACAGGTGTGTCCACAGCGCTCCAAACTGCGCGGCTTATCGGCCTCAGAGAATTCCCGGACACCCAACAAATCCCCGCTGCCCTAACCGCCGCTCCAACCGCCGTCTCACATTTTCATGGTGCCCTTAGGCCCCAAGTTGGTCCTCAGCACATCCTGTAGCCCTCGGGCGGCGCTTATATTGACGGCCAAAGACGCTTGGGCACGGGCCACCTCAGCTTTAGAGTTTGTGGCTTTGACTGCAGCCATGTATTAGACTCAGGGAAAAAACGGCTCAAACCAAAGCGGCCTCCGGAGCGACTCTGTCGGAAGAAAACAAGCGCCCAGCCTCATTCGTCGGAGCCTCAGCCAATCATCGCTAGGACAGGAAATGACGTTGTCAAACATCGCCGGGACGGAAGTCAGAATCGCCTCCGATCGAGTCGCAAAAATGGCGTCTTCTGCCTCTTCTCGTACTTCAGCTGGGAAGCGAGTGGTTAATCAGGACGAACTGCGGCGGTTGATGAAGGAGAAACAGCGTTTGAGCACCAATCGGAAACGGATAGAATCCCCATTCGCGAAATATAACCGTTTGGGACAACTGAGTTGTGCCCTATGTAACACCTCGGTTAAGAGCGAGCTTCTTTGGCAGACTCACGTCCTGGGAAAGCAGCACCGAGAGAAGGTGGCCGAGCTGAAAGGCGCGAAGGAAGCCCCTCAGGGATTGTCTGCCAGTGCAGAGCCTCAGGCCGCCAAGAGGAAGGCACCGGACGCAGAGAGTCAAGATGCTAAGAGACCGAAGGCCTCCGCCGTGCCTCAGGTACAGCCCTCCACTTCCGCTATGCCCACCAACTTTGATAAAACAGAGTCCACTAAAGCGACCCCCAGTAAGGTCACAAGACTCGGTTTACTTACTGATTATGAAGATGAAGAGGAGGAGGGGGAAGAGGAGGGAGGGGAAGATAAAAAGGACAACAGGGTGCTGCTGGACGCCCAAAGCAAAGAGCCTTCGCTACCCTCCTCGCAGGAGGCCACAAACAGTGTGCTGCCAGACCATTTCTTTGATACAAATCCGCCCAAAGCCCCCTTAATCCCTCATTCCGGGTCAATTGAGAAAGCAGAAATACATGAAAAAGTGGTGGAAAGGAGAGAAAACACTGCGGAAGCATTACCGGAAGGCTTTTTCGACGACCCCGAAGTAGATGCGAGGGTACGGAAGGTGGATGCCCCAAAGGATCAGATGGACAAAGAGTGGGACGAGTTTCAGAAAGCCATGAGACAGGTCAACACAATTTCCGAAGCCATAGTTGCTGAAGAGGATGAGGAGGGACGGCTGGACCGGCAGATTGGGGAGATCGACGAGCAGATCGAGTGTTACCGTCGAGTGGAAAAGCTGCGGAATCGCCAAGATGAAATAAAAAATAAACTCAGAGAGGTTCTGACCATAAAAGAGCTGCAGAAAAAGGAAGAGGAGAATGCTGACAGCGACGATGAGGGAGAACTGCAAGACTTGTTGTCTCAGGATTGGAGAGTGAAAGGGGCTTTGTTATAGGGTTTCAAAGACCCCACTTCTTCATGCTTATGGACTCGCTACCTACCCGGGTTATTGAGGTAGACCCGAGCCTGTGAGGGGCAGCACTTTGGACAATTAGTGTCAAATACTTGGAGGTAAAGTTGTTGTTGACGTTTTTCACACATTTACAGGTTTACGTGTATCATTTTGTATTGTAAAATCTAGAAGCTGTAAATATTGCACATAGTTAAATATATTTTTATTTTGAAAGTTATGAATTGGTAGACGTCCGTCCAAAAGATACACTTTTAGATGGATATAAATGTGCTATTTGGGATGTATATGGCTTCATGTGACTCCTCAATCAAACTCCAGTGGGTTTGGGTTTGTTTTTTAAAGAACATTGCTCATAAACATGTAAGTCATTCTTGGTTTATTAGTTCTCTAGCTAAGTATTCTTGATTTTTTTTCAAAAACATGCTTTAGGAGAACATATGCCAAACGTAACCAACCTTCCCAAACCTAAATTTCGCTTGACCAAGTCAGTAATTCACAGATGTTGGTGCACATGAGAATCACCTGTGAAACTTATTAGCAATGATATATGTGTGGTGGGACCTTCAAAAAGTTTGTGGAAAAATGGAATTAAAAGATAATGGAAATTTTCCACAAACCTTTTGAAGTCTGTGTGTGTAGTGTTGTGTTGTTAGGTGCTGGAGAGTGGGTTCCGACTCATATGTACAACATAATGAGACGCTGCCTGGTTCTGCACCATTGTCAGTCTTCCCGCTTGAGCTCTTTGTTGCAGGGTCGGCGTCAATCCAGCTCCTTGAAGGTGGTTGTTTTTTGTTTTTTTAATGTGCTTGAGCCTTATCCTTATTGTTAAGTACCGTGGAGTCGGTTCTGACTCATAGCGACCCTGTACAGGGTTTCTGAGGCTATAAATCTTTATGGGAGCAGATGCCTCATTTTTTCTCTCGCAGAGCAGCTGGTAGTTTAGAACTGCCTACCTTGAGGTTAGCAGCCCGATTCATAACCACTATACTACCAATGCTCCTTGGAGTGGGGCTTAGGCATCTGTATTCTTTTTGATCACTCCCTAGGTTATTCTAACATACACCAAAGTTGTAGAACCACTTCTCTAAATCCAGAACCCATTTATAATTTTCAGGTTTTGTTTTTTCCATAAATAACATTTCATAAGTTTACTGACTCTTGTATAAAAGAAATAGTGCCTTTCACTAATATCTCATCCAGCCTTAAGCTGTATGGTTACATTTTGTAGTAAGTTATGGTTCAGAATTACAGGTTCTATTATAAGAAAAGGATTTAAGTTGACAGTTGGCTTGTGCTGGTCATCAAGAGTTAAAATATTCTTCCCTGTAGATCCTTGTGTGGTGCTGTAAGATAAGCACTGGGCTGCTAGCCACAGTAGTACAAATACACCAGCCACTCCTTGGAAACCCTATACAGGGTTGCTATGAGTCAGAACCAACTAGATGGCACTTAACAATAACATAGGTATCAGGAGTCCTGGTGAGGTGCTATAGGATAAGCACTGGAGTGCTAACTGTGAGGTCAGTGATTCAAACCCATCAACCGCTCTTTGGAAATCTCATACAGGGTCACTAAGGAGCTCTGTTAGCGGAGTGGTTATGACTCAGGCTGCTAACCTCATGGTCAGCAGTTTGAAACTACAAGCCATTCCGCGGGAGAATGATAAGGCTTTTCTGCTCCCATAATGATTTACAGCCTCGGAAACACTCCATGGCACACCGCCACCACCATAAAGGGCCACTGTGGGTTTGAACTGATTCAACAGCACTTAAAACAACCTAGATATTCAAGTAGAACAAGGAACTAGCAATGTTCCAGGACTAGAAGTGCATAATACTTATTCACAGACTAGTGATTAGTAACAGTACTACTAGCTAAAGTAGCTCTTACTCTGAGCCAGACAAGGCTGTATGTGCATTACAGCCAGCCTTTTATAACCCTGGGTTATAAAGTTCAGTTCCTCAAATTGGTACATAAGTCAGTTAAGTAAGTCAAGTATTTGTCTTAGCATGTAATGTACCTTGCTATGCATAAAAACGTTAAACACTCCAGATACACTGATATCTTTAACACAATAATATAATAACGGTTTGGTGTATGTCACCAAGTTCACCTATTTGCTATTAGGTCCTTTGAATTTTTAACATAATAGGCTTTATGAGGTTGGTTCTTAAATGTACCTTGAACATTTAACTCAGACTGTTAAATGCCATCGAGTCAGTTCTGACGCATAGCAACCCTGTATAGACTTTTCAAGGAGCAGCTGGTGGATTTGAACTGCTGACCTTGTAGTTCAGTCTAGTTTAGTTAAAGTTCAGATTTTGTAGAAAGAAGTACCAAGATATAAGTTATGGAAAAAGCCTCGAATGTTAGATGAAAGAATTCTTTCTGCTGTATGGGAAAAACTGGAGGTTTTGTTGGTTTTTTTCATTACCGTGATTATAATCCCCTCCATGTGCCATCAGTTAACAGTATTTCTGTTATTAGCTATTCATATTAGCTTTTTTTTTTTTAAACACTCAGGCATACATAATCATTTACATCTCCAAGGGCACATTCTGCAAGTCTGCCTCCTGGCCTCTAGTTCTCTGTC